CTTTCTGTTGCTGTTCAGTCGACAGGGGAAGCTGCGACTGCAGAAATGGTTCACGCCATTAACAGACCGGGAGAAAAAGAAGGTGATCCGGGACATGATGATGCTAGTGTTGGCTCGTCCACCACGTTCCTGCAACTTTCTCCAATGGAGGGACCTCAAGATAGTTTACAAGAGGTGGCGGCACAACACACGGCTCTTTATTGCTTAATGGTTAACGTGCATGTTGCCTTTGCTCATACTTCAAAATTGCACACAGAGCGAACACACTTGTTATCAGCAGATAACGTCAAGATCTAGATAAACACACAGATCACAGATGACCTAGATTACAGGTGGGGAACACAGTCCAATAAGGAAAGATTTTTTCTATATGATGCCTTTAATGCCACATTTGTATTGAGACTGGGCTTTATGGTAAATGTTGAGAAATTCACAATAGATCCAGTAGTTATGGAAAAGAACGGACAAGAGCTGTTAAAACATCTACACATGCTGTATTTATTTGGAGGTTCTTCACCTTTCTTTTGTTTGATATGATTTCTGTCCTGGAAAGATGCAACCAATCACACTGATGTTGAAAGCACACCCTCTTTCACTTCTAAGATTTTACATATCAAGGCACATTACACGTCATTATTTACTTAACAAACACTATGCAGATTCTCTCTCTCTCTGTCGCCTGTAGCAGCAATAATTTGAAATAATGGCTTTCTGTGTGGCTTTATTAGTGTCACACATTGTTGAGGAGGATTTTGGCCCAATAACCTGCTCAACCCCTGAGCTACAACCACCCACTGCTTATCTGAATCATATAAGCTCATCTAAACTACCATAGGGTAAGAGGCAGGATACACCTTGAACAGGTCTCTAGTGTGCACCACCCCCAAACCCCACCCCTGTGCATTACAGCCATATATCGCCACTCCAGTCTTGTCTGTCAAAAGAACATTGTTTGACAAGTATTGTGGTTTGTCCAGGCAGAACTTTGCAAACCTAAGTTGTGCTGCCATGTTCTTTTTAGAGAGAAGAGGCTTTCTCCTAAAAAACCTTCCAAATAAAACATACTTGTTCTTTCTAGTATCTTTCTAATTGCATTGACCTGAACTTTGATATTTAAAGTTAAATGCCTGTAGAGTCTGAGATGTAGCGCTTGGGTTTTTTTTTTGCAGTTTCTGGCCTATCAAGACTGATGAATGGTTGCAACTTTTGTGGTCTTTGTGTCACACTTTGATAATTTATTCCTTATGGAGAGTATACTTTCTTTACTTAGAAAGAATGCTGTGATCATCGGCTGCAGTTCTGGGGCGATCGTGGCTCAAGGCCATTCTGTTGCTATGCTTACCTATGCACTTTTTTCTTCTTGAGTGTGCCAGGTTGCTCATTTCAACACTTAAAGTGCTTCTGCTGTCTCTCTGATGGACTAGTTTGTTTTTGCTGTCCAATGATGACATGTTTCACTTGCATCTTGAGAGATTATTTGATTGCATGTCATGGCTTCGCAGCCAAAGTTCCCAAATGCAAATTTATCTTG